TTTTTTTAAATAAATAAGCCTTAGGAAAGGTGCCACACACTTTTATAAAAGTTGTATTTTGCTATGTTCCAATAAAATAATAAATGGTGATGTTAAAATAATGTTATGGTTATACTTTTGTATTTATCATATTATAGAATAATTATATTCTCATACATTTTTTATTCCAATGTTCACAACAATATTTTTATTCCATTGTTTTGTGGTGATAATAGTTATGCAAACAATATAACTTTAAAAAGACAATAAAAATACTAATATTTATTGTGTGACAATATATGGATATTAGTATTCAATCCAATATTTTAAAATAAATTATATATATATATATATGGTGCATATATCCTTTAAAAAATTAAACAAATATGAAAGTATTTGTAAATATTTCATATATCCGTACAACTTTAGAAATAATTTATCAACATTTTAATAAAAGATTGATAATAAATTGAATTAGTATGATTTTTCCTATAATATATTTTTTCGGCGAATTTAAAATAGTGGTATGGTCTAATTTGAAAAGTTTTTAAAATATATATAGTTTTAACTTATTTAATAAATATTCTTTGATACTTGTTAGTATTTTTATTTTTTTTATTACAAGCCATATTAATATTAAAAGGACTACAAATTTAATATAGGAGGAATTCACTAATTGCGAGACTTGAAAGGCTATCTATCTTTTACCTATACGAATAATTTTTTATATTCTTCAGCTTGTACATTGTAATTTAAAAATTTTAATGAATATTTAATTCTACGATTTTACTATGTATATGAATTATACCTTTATAACTTTTATTACATACATTCCAAATCGCATTTAAAATAATAATGTGTTTAATTTATAAAATAGTAAAATATGTATGTAGTTTTAAAAAGGTTGTAAAAATTAATGTAAAAAAGAATGTTTCGAAAATATTCCTTGGAGTTTGAGAATGATTTTTTTTTTTGTTGAAGCTGAATTATTGTTTAATATAACAGTTACTACAAAATGAATAAAAAATGAGTTTTTCAATTAGAAATAGCCTAAGAGCGTGTAATGTTAATGTCTCGAGCTCCATTTTGCTGTAAAAGTTACTCCAAACTGAACAGACTAAACACAAAATGCAGCAAAAAAGGGCTAAAACCAAAGACTCATAAAGGGCGAGCAATACCGAATCATACATTTCAATGCATTTTAAATCATTTTTTTTAGAGTGAAACAAATTCAGTTCATTTTTTTTCTTGTGCAGTAATTATATTTCACAAAATCACTTTTTTTTTTTTTTTTTTTTTTCTTTTCAGTCCGGTGCAAAGTCGAGTGTAGTTTGCACCCAACCGCACCAAATTAAACACAAATGTAGATGAAAACCAAGGCAAAACTGAAAATGAAGTGAAATCGTGCACTTTAATGCAGTTAGATACGGTCATATTAGTACAGAAAATTTTGAGTTGGTTTCAGTTTTGTTTATTTTTTTGCCTATTTGCAATGCAGTTCAGTTATTTTATTCTAAACTTAGGCTCTTCGGTTCCTTGCAGTCTGCTGCAGCTTTGAACCAAACATCACCATTGCTCACACAACCTTAATCACATGATCTTCAGCAAAATGCATATGATTAAGCGACAAAGCATCATAATTCGAGAACATATAATGACAGTACAAATCCAGTGACTGCAGATCTAGAAAAAAAAGTCTATAAAATAAGACGATCAATATCCTTCAAAATTTGAAAACTGAAATTCAATATCTGCTAGACCACAAGCTATAATTTAAACCTTAATGGCATACTTTCTGAGAGGGAAATACATTTCCTTCTTTTTCTGCTTCTCTGTCTTCAAAGACACCTAAACAAAGGTCCAACACCATAGTCAGCAAGAACATAGAAGTAGCACATCGATTAGTCGGAGATAGCAAGTGAGAAAAAATTGTCAATTAGACATCATATCAAGCACATAATTGCATCTTAAGGGTCAAAACAATGATTTCGAGCATCAACTGATCACAAAAAAATGGTCAACTAAAACTTGCTCCCGTGCAGCCCAAGATTACTCTCGCCAAGAGAATTTGAGTAAGTCAATGAGGGAATGCAAACAAACAAAATGAAAAATACATAAATAGGCAAACAAAGCTTCAGGTTGACACTCAAATGAACTGGATTTTTTTTTTTCCAAATGTTTACTCGATAAATATTACCAGTTCAAGAGGGTTTGAGAAACAAAGCTCACAACTACACCAGAGAGAAATAAGCTGTAAACAGAATACTCTTCATTAAATTTGGGTTGTTAGGATAAAATGCAGTGCGAGCATCGTATAACATAGATAACTTGAGATTCGAGGTTTACATTTTTTCAGAAATTGCAGAACTAGCTAGAAACATAACTAACTCATTCGACAAACTGAATGTAAAACATTATAGCATCAAAGAACCTTTTTAGAACTATACGTCTCCACTGATCAATTATTATAAGTCTAAGACATACATACTCCACGAAGCTTAAACTTTAACAAGATAAATAGCTGGGATTAAATGTGCACTAGCCCATAATAAACCTCATTTCCAAAACCACGCACCCCCGGCCCCTCTGAACGAGGGGGATTTGCAAACACGAGTAATATAGTTCACTTAGGATATAAATTTCCAATTACGTTAAGTGTTAAAACTTACAATCTAGAATTGTAGATAACCCAATTACACAGCAAACGACACAAATTGGAAAACCACCACATAATTCTTTTGCAGGCAAACACTGTCATTCCCAATAAAACATATAAAGTATCCACAAAATGAAACAGAAGATATCAAGATCACTTTTTTGGAATAGGTCCACGCAAAAACTAAACTATCACATAAAAATAACAAAGTAAGATCACAATACCTGGTGCTTGGTGAGGCGGCGGCGGATGGCACGGGTCTTCTTGGGGCGGAGATCGAGCGGCAAGTACTTCTTGTTCTTGTAGACTTCCCTTAGAGCGGCCTTCTGCTTCTGGGAAATCACGGTGAGGACTTGTGCGATCGAGAGCCTGACCACCTTGATCTTGGAAAGCTTGTTCGGAGCGCCGCCGGTAACCTTGGCCACGCGCAGCAGAGATAGCTCCGCCTTCAAATCCTTCAGCTGGGATAAAAGCTCTGTCTTGCTCTTCTGCCTCAGCTCGTGCACCTTAACCCTCGCTGCAAAAATCAGGAAAAAAATACTGTTACAACAAGTACTTTTTCAGGACATTGACGAGTGAGAGCAAGATCTAACTGTGCATGTCTTTGATCATTTAATCGACCATTGCGTACCCATTTTCAAGCTCTGCTTCTTCTCAGCTGCTAGTGGAGAATTTAGGGTTTTGGAGGAACGCCGCTGATGAAATGGAGGAAACCCTCAATCTCGTTATATATGTCAAAGTTCAAGTCGGCCCCCAATATTCAGCAAGCGGAGGCCCAAAACGAAATTGAGCCCATATGTTGGGAAAGAAAAATAAAATGGCCCAATATCTCATATTTAGAATTGTCCTTATTTCCCTGAACATGACAAGTTTTAAGGACGGAGTTCGCCATAATTTTAATTATTAACAAGTGTTGGTTGTTAAACGAAACGAACACTCGTGAGCCTCGGTTAATAAGCGAGTCGAGCTGAAAACTCATGTAAGGCTTATTAACCGAGTTCGAGTCATTAATATTTGATAAATATGACTTTGTACATAAT